GTATAATCACAAAAACAAAGGTAGTTTTAGTAAAAAAAGTGATATACATTCTGTAAACACTAGGAACAAACACAAGCTAGTGATGCCAGTTTCTCGACTCCACAGAGTCAGTAATTCATTCTTGGGGCAATGTATACGCTATTACAACAAGGTCCCGGAAAGTGTACAGGTTCTCTCTATTACCAAGTTTAAATGTTTTATTAAGCTGAAACTGTATCAAAAGGGTTATTATCATATAAATGAATACATGGTTGATATAATCATAACCCCTGGGAATGAGGTGGCCCCTTCCAAGCAGTTTCTAAAATAAATTTTGTAAATAGTTCTTAATCATTTATATTGTAAAATTTATTTAAAATAAAAGTCCCGCTGGGTTTCTTGCTGGTTCTTCCCAGGACTGAGGGTTTTTTTTCAAACCAGTGGTAACGTAAATAATGACTTTCAATAAGAATTACACATGTAATGTATATTGGATAAAAAATTATTCTATTCTATTCTATTCTATGAGAGTGAGGGAATAGAGAGTGCACGTGTGCTTGCGTATACACTTGGGCACTGTAATCCTGATCTGCACCGATGGCTAGTCTCCGTTGAGGCTAGCCGCCGTGACCGATATTCGATCTGGGGGTCATTACAGCATATAAAAGTCCACTGCTAAACATAGGCCTCCCCCATAGATTGCCTCGTAGAACCGCAGATTTTAACATTTTCGGTTGTTACCAGGAAGAACCAGAAGGCTGCTGCCTATCTCCTATTTTAGTTTCCTTCTGTTGCCTCTTACCACACCCACGGAACGATATCGGGTTGTGGATATCCTTAAACCGCCACTACATGTTTACACGCACACATATTGTTAAAATATTTGTACGTGGTAGAGCCACGTTGCAGCAACATTAATAGTATAGTTGTAGCACGAATGGGTCGACTCGACCGGGGAAGGACCACGCTATCACAGAATACCAGCGTAAAATAGCAGCTTAATGCTGCTGTTCGGATGGTGAGTGAAGGAGAACCGGCGACCCTTTTTACTGGAAAAGAGGCATTCTATCTTAGTCCTCACGGCTGACCACGCATCTGCATTTTAATTCGCAAACGAAGATAGATGCAGATGTCTATAGGCCACAGCAACCACTTACCATCAGGTGGACTGTGTGCTCGTTTGTCACCCAAATTCGACAGTAGTAATTAACACTCAAGAAAACTGAGACGTAATGTACGTCATTATAATTTAATATAACTTCACCACCACGGGCTAATATTACAATATTTATTTATTTATTTAATCTTTCATGCACAAAGTCATACATATGGCGGACTTAATGCCATAGGGCATTCTCTCCCAGTCAAGCATTAGGCTAAACAGAGATAGACAAATAATTTAAAATTAAAAATGTTGTACAGCCGACTTCAATGTAAGTTATTAAGAATAACTCAAATAACTCAAAAACTATTGGTCTGACCTTAATCAAATTCATATGGGACCACACGAGAAGTATCAGCTTTCATATAAAAAAAGAATCATCGAAATTGGTCCACCCTATAAAAAGTTATGAGGTAACACACATTAAAAAAAAAACATACAGTCGAATTGAGTACCGTCTCCTTTTTGGAAGTCGGCAGAAAAAAAAGCGGTGCAGCAGTAATCAAAATAGAAAGGGCTAAAAAAATTGTATGTACATATATATGTAGGTACATATAAATATACATATACACACATACATACACATATATACTTAATCATTATACTTATTTAAAAGTTATTCGAAATTCAATAACCTTGTTCTGAGGTTTGGACTACCGGTCCTGTTGACAGGCTCTATTGTACTTTCTATTTGTATTTCCCATGAGTAAGCAGGCCACGTCAATCTCCATTTACATTTACTAAATATATATATATATATATATATATATATATATATATATATATATATATATATATATATATATATATATATATATATATATAAATGTATGTCGATGGATGCTTGTGACACGCGACACTGCTTTTTCTGCCAACTTCCAAAAAGGAAACGGTACTCAATTCGACTGTATGTTATTTTTTATGTGTTACCTCATAACTTTTTACTGGGTGAACCGATTTCGATGATTCTTTTTTATTTAAAAGCTGATACTTCTCGTGTGGTCCCATATGACTTTGATCAAGGTCAGAGCAATAGTTTTTGAGTTATTCTTAATAACTTATATTGAAGTCGGCTGAACAAAAATTTTAATTTTAAATTATTCAATCTGAGAGAGCGTCCACTGTTCAGCTGTGGATTTGTGATGGGTTATAATTAAGAATATTATGATTTATACGTGGTAGACCCATGCTGCAGTTATGTTATAGTTGTAGCACGAATGGGTCGGTTGGACCGGGGAAGGATCACGCTCTCATAGATACAGTTTCGTATGGTGAATGTAGAACACCGGTGACCCTTTTTTCTGGAAACGAAGCATTCCATCTTAGTCCTCAGGGGTGACAACGCATTTGCATTTTGAGTCTTAATTGAGGATAGATGTAGATTTCTATGCGCCACAGCAACTACTTACTATCAGGTGGACAAACCAGCACACAGCTGGTTTGTCACCCTTATTCTATAAAAAAAATCAATGAACCAATTTTGTAACCAAGTAATGGATTTGGAGATAAGAAAAAAGTGACAATCTTTTATAGCACAATTGAAAGTTAACTTTCTTAGCGGACAAAAAGTTTATAGTGGTGGCTGGTACCGAATCTGCAATAGACAAACTAACAAATTGTCCATGGTTATCGTAGTACTGCTGCCGTGCACACTCAGCTTTTTATCTTCCAAAATAGCATTTTGATTTTAATAAACTAGGGTAAATTTACTGTTACTTTAAAAAAAATTATGAAACCAAAAAAATTTAAATTTTACTAAACTTGGGTAAATTAACTGTTACTTTTAAAAAAATTATAAAACCAAAAAATTTAAAATTTTAATAAACCTGGATAAATTTACTGTTACTTTAAAAAAATTTATAAAACCAAAAATTTTTAAATTTTAATATTCTTGGACAAATTGACTGTTACTTTGAAAAAAATTATAAAACCAAAAAAATTTTAAATTTTAATATTTTGGGTAAATTTACTGTTACTTTAAAAAAAATTATAAAACCAAAAATTTTAAAATTTAATAAATGGGTAAATTTATGTTACTTTAAAAAAATTGTAAAATAAAAAAAATCGAAACTATTATTTAATCGTAATAAGCCTCGTGAACAACTGACGATATTTTATTAAGTATAATTCAATTTTTGAGTAATATTGTATTACGTAGATCCTACATCATAATACTCGTATATAATAAGATAAATAAATGGCGCGGAAAATACAGAGCGTCAAGCGAGTAACTGCGTCTCATATTGCAATCAGTTACGTGTATCTCTTTAGAATAATTATCTATCTGAGATGTATCTATTTTAACTATAACAGATATTCGGTTGCAATGTAATATTTACGTACTATTATATCAATGCCAGTTAAAGCAGTTAGACATGGCCGATTATACATTTTAATTATACATATACTTAATGAAAATTTAACTATCTATATCGAATCGGATAAAAAATAAAATAACTTTTTTTATTTTAAATTTTTATTGACAAGTTGCAAGCAAATACCTCAACCAAAATTATCTTCGCAATAAAAAAAATTGTAAGGTAGGACTATATGATAATTAAGTTTCTAGTTTTAGTTTTTTTTTTATTATCATAGTTTTTAATATTGTAAAGTAAATAGGTAAATACTGCTCTATAAGATAAAATAAAAATATGTATTCGTTTATATGCAATCGTACAAACGTGTTTCGAAATAAAAGGTAGGTATATTTTTTAATATTACAATGAAGTTCACTTTTTATTCTTAACGATGCTTTTTTAAAACGCGGTATGCTTTTTATACTATTTATAAGAGAAATAGAAACAATACATATAATTAAATAGTTTTGAGTGATTGCTAAGTAGGTCAATTATAAACACAGTTATCAAAGAAAAAAAACATAAGATTTATGTGTTACGTCCTAAACAGACGTAGCGTTCGAACGATTAAAATCGCTACGATTATTAATCGTTCATAAAAGTAGCCTCCTAGTTTATTTTCCTATTCATGGAAAGAACCCATTGGTATTTACCAACATTAATAATTTAATTCAGTTCAGTAGCATACTAGGCAGTACTATTATTTAATGGTTTTTAACAAGCATTTACCCCCTCTACAACTAGATTAATTTTGGTTTGATTTATTCCACAAACTAAAATGAAGTTGTTTAATATTACTACAATGTAAAAAATTATGCAAGTAAGTCTAAATTATCACGATTGTTTCATTATATTTATTCTTGTTTAATAATATTTACATAAAATTACATTAATTTGTTTGTGTAATATGATGCATAATAGTCTCCTTTAATTTAAGAAAATCTTTGCAAATTATGATTTTTATTGAATTTAATTGTTTTTATAGCTCCGTACCGAAAGAGTAACCATCGGAACCCTATAACTAAGTCTCCGCTGTCCGTCCGTCTGTCTCTCAGGGAGCTGTATCTTATGACCCGTAACAGGTAGACAATTGAAATTTTCACAGAATGTGTATTTCTATTGCCACTACAACAAAAAATAATAAAAATTGAAATAAATTAAAAATTAAAAGGGGCACCCCTCCTAGAAACGTATATTACGATTCTAGTATGCATGCGCGAGCGATAGACTCGCACTTGGCCAGTTTTTTCTATGGAGTTAAATATTTATGTATTTTACTAATAATAACATTCAACATCTCTGTATTTACTATTACAAAAATAACTCTTAACTAACCTCGCCTAAAGTATGAGCTGCATAATCGCCCGTTGTGAACAAATGTACTTTCACGATAAAAGCGTCAGTAGTCATTAATAATACACACAGTGCATTAACACCCTTACTGATATCCGTTTATCGATCACGGGCTTCCTGCGCTCGCGCATACATAGAGTACAACGCGCAGTAGTTTGACGGTTTCTAAGTACATCGCACGTTGCTATTCAGAGGGAAGATCCGCCATATTTTATTGAAAAGTTTTATACAATGCATCAAAATGCCGCTTCGTAAATTTCACAACAATAGCGGCATTAAGTTCGTCAAAGTGTACGCGTTATTTTTCGAACCCAATCATCCGAAGAGATTCTTCAAGTACAGTTGACCGAAGCTCCCATCCGTTCCGGGATCTTCAATCATCGATCTGGTAACGGACTGCTGACGTGTTGAGTGTAGTGACTTTTATTTTGCTTAGTTTAATTTCGTGTTAGCAGCGATATCTATGAAATTTTCGACGTTTAATTATCAATAACTTCGCTTTTCACTTCAATCTATTATACCATCAATTATAAGCTATTCGTATATTGTCTTTTAAAAGTTTTATAGGACGATTTCACGTCAAAAATAGCTTAGTTTTGATCCGTTAAAGTAAAGGAAGCTATCAAAATGCTGGACAAGCCGAAGTACGTTCGTGTGCAGTCGTACGGGAGCATGAGCTCAGCGAGGAGCGAGGATGACATGACGGTACACAGCCAACTATTCCCTTACCCGAAGAAGATGGTCGTTGAACGCGAGATCCTGTACGAAGAAGAGCATCCGCCATTCCAGCCGCTGATGGCAACAACCAGGATCTTCGGCAAGGCCAGATTCACATGTCTCATGGCATTGTACCTCTGCTTCTATGTGCTGTTCCTGATAGCAGGTGCGATCGTCTTCTCTTCGCTCGAGGCTCCAATTGAAAACGAAATACGACTCGACGTAATACGCGCCAAACAGGAATTCATAGCCCGCTATCCTAACGTCCTAGGTACGTCTTATCTATTACTATTTATTTTTCAGAATCAACGATTCGATATATAATATCCATTAGGTATCTCAAACTAAACTAATTAACGTTAATATATTTTTACAGTAATCTATATACAAATAAATAAAATTGAAGTGTCTGTTTGTAATGTCAAAATAACAGTTTTTTTACTATATGCATATGAAAGTATGTACGACACTTATAACAAAAAAAAACAATTTTAAAAATTTTGTCTGTCTGTCGGTTTGTTCCGGTTAATCTCCGAAATGGCTAGACCTATTTAGACCGGACTTTCATTGGCAGATAGCTGATATTATAAGGAGTAACTTAGGACACTTTTATGTTAAATTATGTTTTTACATTGCTCACCTAATCAAGATACTAACTAAACTGTCTTTTGTATGGATGTAAAATTATTATTTAATTCGAGGTGAGCAGAACTTTTTATTTGAATAACATCTATTCCAGTCGTCGATGAAATGTTTTCTTTTTAATTTTATTTATTATGATGGAAATAAGGGAAAATTGGAATCATAAATCGCATCGTAGTTTTTTTTTTATAGGATAAGGGTGACAATCGAGCACACAGTCCACCTGATGGTAAGTGGTTGCTGCGGCCCATAGACATCTACATCTATCCTCTATTACAAATCAAAATGTAGATGCGTTGTCACCCGTGAGGACTAAGATGGAATGCCTCATTTTCAGTAAAAAGGGCCTCCGGCCACTTGCACTCACCAAGCGAAACGCAAAGGTAAACCTCTACTTCACGCTGGTTTTCTGTGAGGTCGTGGTACCACCCCGGTTCGAGCCGGCCCATTCGTGCGACAGCAACAGCTGCCGCGTGGCTCAACCACTATAAAAAAAAGTTAACAACTTAGTAGCGAGCGTTTCATTATGGAAGTAAATAGTAGGAAAATGCTCCGTGCATTGACTCGTACACACACGAGCGCGCGTCTTTGTTGCCTATAAATCACATTCAATTTCGGATATTTTCAAATAAATGTAAAAACTTTATTTAGGCATATTTTTCAAAACTACAAAAAGTGTATGTCAGTATTTATTATTTTTAATATTTATTTATTAATATTATTTTGAACCTAATTATTAAATTTAGCTGGTCTTTGAAAAATAACCCAGTTTGTTAAACCTTCGGCTTTAAAAATGTGCCGATTTATATTAACGTATCATTTAGTGAAGTTTTCATCACCCTACCACGGCAAAGTCAAAAGGAGGGTTATGATCTTAGCTGTTATGTATGTATGTATGTATCTTTAATTTTTTATTCTTCTCTAAACAATTTATGGTACAATATAAAATGTTAAACAAGATAAGCATGTATGTATGTATTTACTCGGGTCATAATCTATATGACGTCACGTATAATTACTGCAGTTATACGTCATTACTGTAATGTAGTGCGACTATATGAACTAATTGCTTATTACTATATACTGACTATACGAAAACTAATTGTTTATCGTGCATAATTTAAAAAAATCGACATCGTAGATTTTTGTCCTAGTTGAGTTTAAGTTTTTACCTTTTTTTTTATTTTTTATTCGAAATTTTACGCGATTTTTAATTAAGTGCTTACATGTTATTCATTGCTTACAATATAAAAAACGCAATAATATATATAAACATTACATACTTATTATCATATAGCTATGTGTCTTGGATAATAATGTCGTAACAGCTTTAGATATGAAATCAGAGTAAACACTACGCAAGGAAAATAGTCCTAAGTACTGATACTGAATACACCTAAACCTTAGTTATATTTTGATATACGTATATTTTTTATAGAATATATAACTATATTTCGTGTGATATGTGCGGGGATTCCACTACCCCATTTCCTCTCGTGGATATCGTAAGAGATAGTGGGGAATGAAACAGGAGATGAGCAACAGCATCTTCCTTATTACATCTCACAATAATAAAAAAAAACTGCAGTTGCTAACCTACCTGCCAAGCGTGGTGGCTATGGAAAATATAGTATATTTGATACTTAGTAGAGCCACGCTACAACTATATTATGGTTGTAGCACGAATGGGTCGGCTCGACCGGGGTAGGGCCACGCTCTCACAGAACACCAGCGTAAATTATATATATGCTGCTGTGTTTCGTACGGTGAGTGTATAGAACCGGAGACCCTTTTTAATGGAAAAGAGGCATTCCATCTTAGTCCTCGGTTGTAACAACGCATCTGCATTCTGATTCTTAATTGAGAATAAATAAATGTAGCATCCACTTAACATCAGGTGGACTGTGTGCTCGTTTGCCACCCGTATTCTATAAAAAATATCCCCCATATAAGACTATTGTGGAGGCCTATATTGTGCTGTGGTCTTTTAATAGTATATTGAGACAGATAATGATATTTGATGATGAATTTCTTTAAATTTAGGATCAAAATTCCTTAAACTACAGCAAAATAATAGAATGATGTTTTCTCCTTTGATTAATGCACTCTTACGATTCATCTGCTTATAGTAAAACTGGTCAATTGGTGAGTTTGTTGTGCGCGGAGGTTTCTGACAATAAGCCCTATCATTAAGACAGTAATAAAAAATACCCGACTGCGTAAAAACGTTTACTGAGAACCCTATGTCACTCCCATAACTAAGAAGAATTGAACAAGATACATACCTACTCTCGAAAAACATCAACCTCCTTTTGGGACAGTCAGGTAAAAAAGAGACATTGTAACGGTTGCTAGGCGTAGTTGGAAATAGTTCTTTATAAAAATTTCTTTACAAAATTATTCACAGTATTATGCTCTTGCGACATATAAGCGATGTTTTAAGAGATTTTGACGAAAATTTATCTCAGTCAGACAGTTGATGACGATGATAACTTAAAATGCAAAAACAAACTCTATGGATTGACGCTCATAAGATCAACAAGACAATAATTGTTTCATAGATTCTACTAATACATTAACAATCGCAAACAAATCATTATCAAAGTGCAGTTCAAACCATTATAATATAAGCGATAGCAAAACAAATGACGACAAAAGGAACATTCCACTTGCGTTGAAGTTCCCGTGAAAATTTCGTCATTAAAACTTTCCCGCCATATCGATCATCATTTGTGAAGCAATGAATGCTAAGATAGCATTAATTGCTTCACAAATGATGCATTTATATAAACAAAATTTATTGTAGTGATCCGATATTGCAATCGTGGATAAATTGATGACTTTAGGTGTAACAACGCGTAATTTTTTATTTGACAGAATAAGATTACAAACGAGCACACAGTCCACCTGATGGTAAGAGGATGTGTGTTGCCCATAGACATCTACATTTATCCTCTATTAATAATCAATATGCAATGCTTTCACCCCTGAGGACTAAGGTAGAATGTTTCGTATCGAGTAAAAAGAGTATCCGATTCTCTTCACTCACCATACGAAACACAGTAGCAGTAAGCTGCTAATTTACGCTGGTATTCTGTCAGAGGGTGGTCCTTGTGGCGACCCATTCGTGGTACAACTATATAACATACCTGCATCATTGCTCTACCACGTATTAAAATTTTTTCGCTAGTTCTAATTACATGTTCTATTATTGCAAGTAAAAAATCTGAATACTTACACATAATGATTCAGATGACCTCCATTGCTTCCAATTAGTTAATAAAAAAGTGACATTATTAACAAATGCTGCCAAACGTCAAAGAGAATGTAATCACTACGTTTACCAAAAGCTACGAACGTGTTCAAAATCGTTTTGGCACCAAAGTCAAAGGGCTTTTAAAATTTTTTAATCCAAGTAAGTCGAACGCGGCGGAGTTATATTTTCTTTGACGGAGTGTAAGTTTGTGTCTCTGATTAATCCCATAAGCATCACATGAAGCTCTGATAGTAAGGATTTGTGAGTACCTCTATGTTTACGAGTACGCTCGTGTTTTTAACTGACGACGATAATAGAGGGGTGTTGTAGTGTGTATCTGTGTGTCTGTGTATCTATGTATATTTGTATCTGTCTGTGACATCATAGCTGCTGAACAGAAGAACCGATATTGATTAAGTTTTTTTTTTCGTTTGAAAGGTGTCTTAATCGAAAGTGTTTTTTAGTTATTTTAAGAAAATCTATTCAGCCGTTTGAAGATCACCAGCTTTTTATTTCGGTTTTTTTAATTTGAAATTTTAGTTGTAATAATCTCTTTTATACCTGGTAGAGCCAAGTTGCTGCGTATTATGGTTGCAACACGAATGGGTCGGTTCAACCTGGGAATGACCACACTCACACAATACCAACGCGAAACAGTAGCATAATGCTGTGTGTTTCATACGGTCAATGTAGAGAACCGGGGATTATTTTTACTGGTGACGGGGCATTTCATCTTAGTTCTCAAGAGTGATAACGCATAGCTGCATTCTGATTCCTAATCAATGATAGATGTGGGTATTTATATGTACCATAACATCCACTTATAGCCACTAGGTGGACTATAATTAGTTTATAGTGTTTTTTTTTTTTTTATAGAAAAGGAGGCAAACGACCATGCGGGTGACTTGTTAGTAATTGATCACTGCATTACTGGTGTGTTTTTTGTATTGATAATATATTATTTTATACTCAAACGTTGATAAATTTAAAAATTTCAACAAAGGACAATGTCCAAAACCGCCCTGTGTAATAAAAGCATCGGACATACACGATAATTAATTTTCTATTTTATTATATTAGTTGCAAATACTTTTATAACACGGACTAGCTGCATGCAAAAATGAACATTAAAAAGTATTATATTCGACTAATAACATTAATCGCCGCCATCTTCGCCAAACATCATGTGGTGTTGAAAAATGATTAGGGATGCCCAATCGATTGTAATCGATTATTGAATTTTTAATGAACTGTCGTATATTTTTTTAATCTGAATTACATTTTAATTTATTTCGAATAAAGTTGCTAAAAGAAGCTACAATAAAAATATTATATTACCATTTCTTTATATTCTTTTATATTATTATAATTTT